ATCCCTCGCACGCTCTGGCAATTTAATTTGGTAATTTTCGGTAGTTTTCTCAGGTTGTTTTGGGCTGGTCTGCAGCAGTCTCTGTGGTTTCAGGGTGTTCAGGTCTGTTTTGGAGGAAGGATGGGGTTTTATTGTTTCGTGTGGGTTTTGTACATGCTTACTTTGGAGGGTGTGTTTACGGGTGAATTCACAGATTTTCTGGTCTAATAGATTTAGTGAGGTGCACGGCCAGATTGGTGGACCTCAATAGTTTTAATGGTAATTGCAAGACTTTCCCTGCTTTTTTTGGTTCTGGTGTGCGGTGTTGCAATATGTCAAGCTTGGAGCGGCTGCTGTCTTGATTTTGCCGCAGTTTAGGAGTGGCATGGCATTTTCTGTTCATGTGTATTGGTTTTCTAAGATGTGTGGCAAAGGTTTTGGGTTAGGAAGTGGGGGAACAATACCTCCTCTATGCCTGAACCATGTAGCTCTTTGTTATGATGACAAAGTTCTTTTTAATTTGGAGGATCCTCAAAATCCATGTCATTTGTATGACCTCTTTTCACTACCATGGTCTGTGACAGATTGAAACATTGTCATCCTATTATGATTTGAAAAATATATGTTTTTGTTCTTGGCTTCAACTTTCAACTCACGGCTCACTTGTTTTCTCCCATGCTTTCCATCAATTACTGAGCTCTGTTGTTTTTTTTCGGGGCACCATTGTTATGTTTTGACACCCTGAATGAAATTTTCTTTCACGGTAATCACCCCGACTATGCACCATTGTTATGTTTTGACACACTGAATGAAATTTTCTTTCACGGTAATCACCCCCGACTATGCTTTTCTGACCACTGCCACCCTTTTGATGTCTGTACTGGGTTAACTCCATTATCCTCTGACATTGATGACAGGGCTTACTGTTGAAAAAGGTGGAAAAAAACCAGTGTAGTAGTAGTATCTTAATAGTTATTTTGTTAGGATTTTGGTTAGTTTGTTAGTTTTCTCCTAAACTCTATATAAAGAATGTAATCATTTCCATCTATCTCTAATTAATTAATATAAAATCTAGGGAGTTTTTCTTTCTACTAAACTTTGAAGCTTATTTTTGGTATTAGACACTTCATCTCTTTGATCATGTGTGTAATACGGTGGGAGAACTGACTGTTAATACTGTTTTTGCGTTCGTATTCGGAAATGTTGCGGTAAGCAAGAGTCGTCACCGTCTTTTCTTTTATCCAACAAAGAAAAGGGTGAAAAGAACAGAAAAATACATTTTCGAGAGTTTTCTGAGTAAGAGGGGTAGATTATGGAAATGGAAGGTGTTAGCACCCTTTCCATCCGTAGTTATCTACGGGCTCTTAGATGCTTAACTCATTTTGAAATACCTTGTGCTTTTGTGTGTTTTTGAAACGTATTTTGAAAAATGCCTTAGTGCGGCGATTTGTTTTATAATAACTCTTGTATTAGTCCTCAAGAGTGTTGATAAAGCGTTTTTTGAAAGTGTTTTTGAAATGTCTTCTGTAAGTGCAAAAATTTGTTTGAGCAAACATCTATGACCTATCTACCTACTCGAATAAGACTGTTCTTTTCTTCCTTCCCTTTAAATAGTGCTATCCTACTATTAGTAAGTTGGTAACCCTATCTTTGGATGTTGAGGGACTATCGAAGGGACGTTTTCGGTCACTAAGGCATCTGGGCAAGAACTTTTAGTGACTGTCCTAAAACTCTAAGATCACCTTTTTTACCGAGGCAACGTCGAAAGGGTCATCGAAGGACTTGTGATCTTTTGAACCAAAGGACAACCACTAAAAATTCTCACGTTTCGAGAATAGTGACCATTTTCGAAGGCAACCGAAGCGGGAGATACCCTAGAGGTTAGCATGTGCAAATGTATTGATTCATTTCATTTATCTTGTGCATTTAGGGTTATCTAACGTTTTTAATTTCCAATTTTTCCATACAATCCTATTAATCTAAGCAGTTCAAATATTAGTGCAAGAATTTAAAATGCAGAAATTAAATCTAGCTATTACAGGGCCTCGGGGAGGGGGTTACACACCCAAAACTTTGGGGATAAAAAACAGTAAATAAACCCTAAATTAAAAGCTATTACAAGCTGTGTACAGATACAATAATTGAAAAAAAGAATACAAAAAGTAATAAGCGCGCGAAAAATGGAAAGAGCATCTAAACCCTAAAAAATATTTCTAAGTTAAAAGAAAATCTTTTTTTTTTGCTCTTATTTATTCATGAAAATATTAAATTATAATAATATCCTAATTAACTAAATTAAAAAGGAAAGAAAAAAAAAATTACAATTAACTCTAATGAAACTAATATTTTTTGGTATTTTTAATGAGAAAAAGATTTGAAATTTACTCCTAATTTCTAATTAATTTTAATTTAAAGAAAACAAGTTAAAATAATTAAATTATAAAAATTAATTTTAATTATGAAAAACCTAATTCTATTTTTTTATGACTTTTTATTGATTTTATGATAAAAATAAAAATGAATTTAAAAATATATAAAACAATTAAAATAAAGAAATTAAAACAAAAAGAAAAATAGGCCTGATATAGTGAAGCATTGAGGGGGGTGTAATTTGGAAATTGTTAGGCTCAGATGTGCTGGCCCAATGACCTGCGCATGATCTAATGTTTTTGATTTTTGGAGATCCATCCTGGGGAAATGCTCCAGGACGCTGGATTTGGATTCACTAAGATCCAATGGCTGAGATCTGGAGATGTATGATGCGTATTTGGCCATGCACCACAGGGAATCTGCCTGAAACACAATAGAAAAAAATGCAAGAGCGCTGGACCTGGGATTCGATCTCAGGTCCCTTACCTCGTATGCTTGCTTGTCTTGTCAACTGCGTTGCTTGTTAATTCATTATCATAACATAAAAATATTATAAAGGGAAATCAATGCTATACCCTAGTCAACAAAACGCGCGCGTCAGCAATGCAAACGAGCCAATCAAATAATATCAAAATGCCACGCATGCTCCAAACGGAGTCAAACGAGTCAGCGACGCCGGAGTGGATCTCCGGTGATCCTCTCCGGGAGACTCAAATTCCCAAACCTGCAAAAGCGTGAGATTTGCGAAGAGTTAAAGGTCCTATCCTACACAAAATCGAGCCCTGAATCCGATTCTGACCTTAAATTGGCCTGTAAGTGTCTCTAACCCTGAAAACGAAACTCTCACGTTTCAAAATCCTAACAATGGTGGTTAGAGATTCTGGCCCTGTACCTTACATGAAACACGTTAGAATGCTCACAAACAATGATAATAACATGAATATGGAACGAAAACTAATTTATATCATGTATTTGAAAGGTTTCGAAGCCAGGCTTTACCAAAGTTCGAAGATGTGTGGGTCTGGCCTTCTAGAGTGTTGCACGCCTTGTGGGTGATATGGATGACCTCCCGAGGGCCTCAGAGTTTAGTCTGGAAACCGCTGGATCGTATGGTATAAACTTCCATTTTTCTTTGGAATTTTTGAACTTTGCTAGGGTTCTTTTTGAGGCAGCTGCGCGTATCCCCTTAGGCTGGGATGTTTGTGCTTAAGTAGTAAATCAAATTAGGGTAAGCATTAAGGAGAGACATCAATGATTTTCATGGAAAAATATTTGATTTCCAATTATGTGAATATTTGCTTTTTTGGACCAAATCATATCTCTTGCCCCTTTCAATGTGATTTCCTTGTTATAAACTGAATATATATTCAATATTTAATTGGAAACCAATCCCACGCAATCTTTATATATTTTTTAATCATTTATTTAATTTAAATTAAATTTTAAATGACTAAAAATAAAGATAAATAAGATAAATGACCAAATAGGGCATGAATGGGTTTAGAGGTCGTGGACCAAGTTAGAAACAAGTTTGGATCACAAAAGGATAGGCCCATTTGGAAAAAATCCAAGTTTGTTCAATATTGGCTTCATGCACTTTTCCAAAAACTTTAGAAATACATATCTCTCAATTTTAACCCTATGAGGGTGTTCTTGGACTTTTTAAAGAGCTTAGGATGTCCTCTAAACAACCCTTTTGGTTTCATCTCAATTGGATCTTCCATGTTCATGTTAGCTTTGACCCAAAAGATGTTTTTGTTGACTTTTTGAAAGGATCCATAATGTTTGAGCTTGTATCTTTCAATTGATGCATTTCTTGAACTTGAGGGCTGAAGAGAAGTTGTAGGGAATTGGATTCTTTTCAAAATGAGCCTTGGTGGAAAAATTTCTGATAAAGTATGAGAAAGTTATAGGTGGTCAAAGTTCAATTGACTTTTCCTATAGAAATCCTAATTAGCAATTTTTGACTTTTGATGAATTAGGAGCATTTCTTGAGAATTCATGATCAATCCTTGATCAAATGATGGATATCACTTCAAAATGTTGATGTTAACAAAAAAACTTGAAGTTTGACTGTATATGGGCCACAATTGACTTTTGACCTAGTACAATTGATTTTCAAACATTTGAGCAGTTGACTGAGCAAACTTGTAGTGCAAGGCATGAAATTTGTCATGGACAATCTTAAGAGGAGAATTTGTCTGGTCAATTCTTGGTTATCCTTGAGTAATTGGAAACCTCAATGAATATGTCTTGAGTAAAAATAGGAGGACAAATTTTGGGGTACAACAATGTGATTTGCAACAATTAAATCAATTATTTTAATTGATTTTATCTCCATGAGTTGATGGCCTGTTGGATTTATTTCTTCCGGAAAGTTGTAACTTTGGAATCTTAGAACCCCTTTCTCTTTTAATTAACATCTTATATACAATGTGTAAAAGCTTGTGATAGCTTATTCTATTACACTTGTTCTGTTAGAATTTATTCTTCATCAAACGGTCTACTGCCATGGCAGAACATTTCTTTATCAATAATTTATTTTAAGAATGTATATAAAATAAGAAACAAAAAAATATTAATGAAACTGTGGTTCTGTTGTTAAAACCAGTTTCTTTACCATTTATTTCTTGACAAATCAAATGTTGCAGATCATAGAAAAAGGACCCATCAGAGACTATTTGGGACGTCCTTTATTAACTGCAACTAATGATTCGAATCCATGGTGGTTAGTTTTCAAGCAGGCTATAACCTCAGTTGGAGAAAAACTTTCAAAGCCTGAAATTCTTCCATCCACAACAGATGCTCGATATCTTCGGCAGAAAGGGATTCCTGTACTTGGTTTTTCCCCAATGAAAAATACTCCCATTTTGCTTCATGACCACAATGAGGTTAAACAATTTTTCTAATTCTTAGTTACTTTGTTTAATTTCTATTATGCATCAACTCTTTTACTTTGTTATATTATTTTTTTGACTCACTTGACTTGAACATGCAGCATCTACGAGATACTGTGTACATGAAGGGAATACAGGTATACGAGTCTTTGATAAGCTCCTTGAGTTCGTTTACAGAAGCTTCACATTAGTTAGTTAACTTAGTTGCATAAGTTGTATTAGGAAAGGCACCTGAGTTGTTATCTCATTCTGACAACGTGATAGGTGTATAATTAAGGGATTTCTCTGAATGTGTATTGTATCTATCAATGTAATATGTCTTTGAATAATTTGAATGAAAGTCTCTGTAGTACATAATAAAAGTGTATTTGTACCAAGTGTAATAATAATCAGTGCTTGGCACGAGACATCAAATGTCTTTGAAAGTTTTAATCATGTGCTTCATTAAGGGGATTTCTTAACTTTCTAGTGCACCGTGCGAAATTCTCAAAATACCTCCCGTTTCTAGAAGTGTATTCGGACGCACTCTATACATATAATTCATTCGTTTTAGAGTTACACTCTATTTTACGACTAAATTTATTCCGAAAAAGTATTTTCGGAATTTTTTCGGAAATACATTTCCGGCATTTACTGAAAAATACATAGTATGAGTTAATCCTGTTAGACGATAGGACGTATCTAGAAGGGGGAGTTGAATAGATACCGTGATTTTTAAAAGGAGTTTTTAAAGAAAATTTAAAACGCATTGAAAGTTACTTGGATATACTCGTCTAAAAATGATCCTCTATTGAAAAGACCGGATATGTGTAAAATTGAATGAAATGAATCAATGAGAATTATTAACACTTAATTCAATTATAATTGATCACTTATACTTTTTTAACTGTTGTCAATTACTTCCAATGAATTGTTGAGTATAAAACCCACAAATTTACACTTTTGAACTTTTATCGAACACTTGGTGCGCGTAATCACACCAAGTTCAATCTATCTTAATTTGTAGTGTTAAAATCAATTATAGCAATCAAAGTGATTACTATAGTCTTTAGCAATAGTTCTATCACACTACAAATCCAGACACTTGGAACCATAAGCGCAAATTCATAAATTATAGCAAATAAATGGTAAAAGACGAGAAAGAAAAATGACACGCGATTTGTTTAGGCAGTTCCCTCTATCGTCCTCACGTGGGGTACTCTGCCCCTAATTCTAGAATTTAGAATTAGGATAATTGCTATTATCATTGCAAAGTTTGTACAAGAGATAGAAAATAGTCACCACAATTCAAACCTAATATGTTGAATTGAAAATTAAGCTCCTCTCTTTCCTTGATTCGATTTGAACCAAGTATGTCACCAATCTTCGCTAAACCTTCGGTTGTAGCTACCTTGTTGAGAATCCAAACTGTTTCTCAAACCTTCTGTTCGGCTGATTTGTAGCTACCTTCACAATCCTCCGATTGTAGCTACCTTGTCGAGCGAACCCACGGTTCCTCAATCCCTTAAGCACGACTGAATTTGGATGAAGCAAAGAATTATCAAAAAACCCCAAATCCCAATGATCTTGGAGGAAAAAACCCTCAGATTTCAATCAAGAAAAATCCACAATTACTCAACCCGAACAAGATCGCAATCTTCTACTTCAGACGTTATCAACACACGCTCCGCACCTTGATCGACAAAAATTATTATGTGTAGTTGTCAATGGATGAGTGAGAGGTTGAAGATGATGATTACCTTGTGTATCTATTTCACTTTTCTTGTTGAAAAACCAAATGATAGAACCTAACAAGATTATATATGTTATCTCAAGTCAAAATCTAAACTAACAAGCTAAAAAATAGATTTAACGAGCGAACGATCGACCTATGCCAGAAGGGGGACTCGACCTGAGCATTTCCGAGAGTGCCAGAAGACAAAGTGCGCGATCAATGCATCGACCGCTCCAGGGCTATGTGTCGACGCATAGTTCCTAAATATTACTCCTAGGTTGAGTCGACCACACTGAAGGGGTGAAAAACACAAGAAGGGGGGGGGGTTGAATTGTAAAACTGGAAACTTAAAGCAAATGACAAGGTATTTTTATCCTGGTTCGTTTGATCTCAAACTACTCCAGTCCACCCGTTCAAGGTGATTTCGCCTCTCTCCAACGAGGTCTTAATTCACTATATTCAACTGAATACAAATCTGTTTTAGCAACTGCTAAAACCTTCTTGATTCAAACCACAATCCGGTTTGTCAAGGCAACACTTTCTTACAAAGGAATAATCAAATGTGTGTGAATGTTTCTACAAAAACTATATCACAACTGTGATGTTTACACAAATGAAGCTTAGAATACTAAGTTGCTAAACGCTAATAGAGTATCAGAGTTTGGTGGTTTAGCAAAACTTGTAGAGTGAAGATTAATGATCAGCTTTGTACGTGTAGAGAGTTTGGAAGCATTAACCGTGATAATCTTCAAAGCTTGGTTTATATAGCACTTTGAGAAGATGAACGTTGAAGCAAATATTCTTGATTCAATGCTATTTACAAGCTTTCCTTTCTGAGCAGATCTTGTCTAGAATGATGCCGTTGGTATTGATTAGCTTTCAATGCACAGTACCGTTGCTTCTTCAATGCACGATCTGGCTTGGCTCATTCTGATTCTGCTTTGCTGCTGATGAACTGATTTGATTCTGTATCAGAGTATTTTACGCGCAGTTCTGTTCATCAAGCTTCAGCATGTGCAAGCGTTGATCTTCTGATCTTGACGTTCTGATTCAGCAACTTCTGATGCTGATGCACAAACTCATATTCTGATGCTGGGAACGTGATCTTGCTTATTTTAATCAGCATATCTGCAAGTCAGAGCATAGTAATTTTAAGTAGCATATAATTCAATCATGAAATATTTAACTACTATATCTTTTCACTTTGTTATCATCAAAACTTAATTATAGGGTACTAGATTCAAACATTGTTCTAACAATCTCCCCCTTTTTGATGATGACAAAAACTAGATATTTTAAATGAAAAATAACGTGAAAAGGTTATCAGATCTATGTATCAGAATAAGAAGTACGGAGAAGTTAGAGTTTAAGAAATACTCCCCCTGAGTTTGTTACTTCCCTTTGATATGCGTGTTCTTCAGAGTCAGATCTTTTTCTGTCTTTGAGCATCAGATTGTAAGTCTTTGACTTATCAGAAAGCAGAGCTTCAGAGCTTTTCCTGTCAGAGCTTTGCTTCAGATCAGAGCTTCATATATCAGAACTTCATATTTGATCAGAGCAACATGGTCTTCTAGTCTTCATTGTGTTCAAGAGCTTCCTTGTGCCTGTAGACTTAAAGACAAAACAGAAAAACATTTCAAGTAATAGATAGTTAGAATGTTTGAGAGTTTCTGTCTAGTTATCCGTTATTGATTTAAATATCATTCTTGTTCTCCCCCTTTTTGTCAGCAATCAAAAAGTGCTGGTGATGTGCTAAAATGATTTAGATCAGAAAAACTAATAGTATTAAAGATAGTTCAGAATCAGAGTAAAATAGCATTACAAACCATAGACAAACCATAGTCAAAAGTACATCAGAAAATAAGGAAAATATAGAGAATGTCATGCATGAAAAAAATTTCAAGGTTGTGGGGGCATGCGTGAGAACAGGCTTTCCAGCATTGCCTGAATCTTTTCAGAAGTTGCATTCTGCTTCTGAACCAAGGTGACAACAGAATCAATCTTGCTGTCCTGGACATTCATTCTTGCTTCCAAATTGATCTTCACCCTCTGATCAATAAAGTAGATCAGAAATTGCTGATCCACGTTTATATAGTCAGGAGAGCTTGTTGGCTTCCTGTGATTGAAACAGCCTAGAACAATTTTGGCCCACACTCTGAAGTGATCCTTCAGATCCTTGATTTTGCTGCTGGGAAGACCAAGAGTGAAAATGCAGTTTGCTACCACACCAATATCCGGACACCTATCAGCCATGTCCACACAACGGACTCCACCACCACTCTGACCAATTAACCTAGCAATGAGGTCTTCAGAAATTATGATCTTCTTTCCCATAACAGAAGAGACGACTAGATGCTTATCAATCTTGGCATGAATCCAAAATTCTTTGACAAGTTCTGGGAAGGTTGGTCCAACCAATCGATCAAAGTACCTCTCCCACCTTTGAGTTTTGACTTCAGCAGTTAGGTCAAATCCATTTTCCTTCAAACTTTCGAAATCCACTATTAACTCAGAGAGAACCTCAAGATTCTTTACTGGTGTGAGAAGAGTTCTGGTAGGCGCTTGATATTGCTCAGAGGTTTCCTTCTTCTGATTTCCTGCAGGAATGCTGGAGGATGCCATTGTTCTCACACAAAAAGCTTGAGAGTGATTTGAGAAAAGCTAGGGTTTTGAAGGAGATATGCAGAAAAATTCTTAAGAGATTATGAGTAAGCGTAAAGATTAAGAATTGAGAGTAATGTGCTTAAATAGGATTTTCAAAAATTATTTTGAAAAATAAAACGTTTTTAAGAGAGAGAAAAAAAATAATGATTGCAATTAACAAGCGTGATTACTTTTGCATTTAATGCTTGCTGATTTTAGGGGATTTGAGAAAGATACTTAAAAACGGTTACCAGACATGTGTCTCAATGCACCCAATCAGCGTTTTCCTTTCTCAGAAACGTGCACGCGTTCTGCTTCAGGGATTTGCTGATGATTGGATGACACTTGTTTGATATAGTGATCAGCACGTCTGTCTTTGAGATTAGACTCTCAGATCTTCAGACTTGCCTCTGATACAATCTGCATGTTCTAACTTTCTGAAACAAAGATTGATCAGAAGTTCACAGTAATATAATTACATTCTGAAAGATAAAAATATGGAATTAAAGCATTTTCATTCTGGGCATACTTTCATGCTGAGATGTTTCAGAATGAAATTAAACCTATCTTCTGAAAGGGGTTTTGTAAAGATATCAGCCCATTGATGGTCTGTATCTATAAATTTCAAGTTTAAAATGCCTTTCTGAATATAGTCCCTAATGAAATGGTGTTTTATTTCTATATGCTTAGCTCTAGAATGTAAAATAGGATTCTTACTTAAGCAAATAGCAGAAGTATTATCACAAAGAATAGGAATGTTACTCTCAAAAATCTGGAAGTCTTCAAGCTGACTTTTCATCCAGAGCATCTGTGTGCTGCAACCAGCTGCTGCTA